TTGTACCGGCCCTCTCCAGCGATGACTGATGGCAATATGGTCTATTTGAGTCCATCGTTGGTTTGGTGTAGGGGGTCGCCATGTTAGACGATGTCTCTCCTTATGCTTAAAATTTGTGTTTGCTAAAAATAAACGATTGTCTGAGCGTAGTTGCAGCAGACGATCACCATTATCTGTTCGTTGTGTCGGAATACTAAAATATCCACCTAAATGCCTTTCTGTTTGGTTTAAACTGCCTATCTGAGCATTAAAGTCACCTGCTACGAGTACTATGTCTGAGCGTTTAGTTTTCTGAAGAAGTTCAGATAGCTTTCTGTAAAATTCATCTTTCAATTCATCTGAGGTGCAGTCAGTGGGAGCGTAGGCAGAAACGACAAAAAGGCAACGACGTGTGTCCCTATCCTTCCGAGTTCTTACGGAGCCGTTTAGCCGAACAGCACATAAACGACTGTTGACGGGGATCCACTGTAGCAGTGCTTGTTCGGCCCTCATGCTTCTTGCTATGCCTACACATGCCAGTCCACGAGAACTGGCCATCGGGTCACCAGATACACGGAGGGTGTATCTCGTTGGCTCTCCGTTTTGTCGAGGTGAGGTCAAGTGAATAACCACACTGGAATCCTGTATGCGTGTTTCGGAGACACAGCACAAATCAATGGTAAGAGACCCTAGGGTTTTAGCCAAGGAAGCCTGCTGACCGATTTGACACAGTGCGCGTACGTTGAAGGCTCCAATATGTAGTTTGGAGCGAGGTTTCAGTAGACCTGGGACAGTGTTTTGAGCACTAGAATCGTTGGCTATGGTGACACTCGAGGAGGAAGCCGAAAGAGGAAATTTAGAGTTGAAAGTCGATGTAGGAGGAATAATAGGAATTGAAGAGGGAGGTTGATTATGAATACAGTGGTCTTGAGTGCTGTTAGAGGTGTGAGGGCGGTTATCACTTCCCGGTTGCCCACACCGTGGAAGGGTTCTTCTGGAGGTACTTGAAAAGGAAATCGGATTAGAAGTGGTCTTAGTGACCTGGGAGCGTGACCGCAGTGCCCAAGGGACAACTGCTTGAGGTCGGTCACACACGACCTTTTTATGGGCAATTTTTGTGTTAGCTCCGTACTTGTTGAGACCTTACCGCCGGAGACGGATATCCGTGGGATAAGGCGAGGTGTGCATTTTTAGGGTCGACCTTTTCTAACCTCACCCCTCCTTGTGGGAAGGCAGCATCGCTGTCATGCTGGTTGTCTGAAGGAAACACCTCACTTCTGTCACACCTCTGTACAGTCAGCAGTACGACTTCGCCTTCAGACCTTGGGTTTGTTGCTTTTAGTCTTACCGCTCTTCAACCGACCTTTCTGACGTGGTAGGACCTTGAGGAACAGTTGTTCCAGTCAGCATAGCTCGGTTGCTTCATCACGATAGTCAAGCCCGACCACCACGTCAAGGCAGCAACAACGGTCGGTCCTACCATGCTGAGGTCGGTTGGTGATTAGTAAGACTGAAAGCATCAAAAATTAGTCTGAGGACTGAACCTGGCCCTATCTGACTAGTTGCCGTTGCTGATCGTTCGAGTTAATAAGAAAGGAAAGAAGTGCTTTCGTGACAACCACAGAGGTATCAGTTTGACTAATATGGTTTCTATGTTATTAACCTCTATAATGATTTAATGGATAATTAAAGCTTATGATTGGCTTTTGCCAACTTTCATCTATCGTGGCTTAATAATATGTCCTTATGTCAACCAAAGGACTAATATACTGCACAACAGTTCGCTCTGTTTTAGTTTGTGTCTTTAAAAAATAAAGAATACTCGTATGTTATTACCATTCCATACCAAATACCTTCATCTCATTGCTGTGGTAAAACACAAGTTACTAGGCAAGTATGTCAAGTTGATTGGTGGTTACTAAACTTCGTCAATTAATGTGATTGGAATATTCATTACTCATCTTCAAGAAAACGCTAGATGAAAGTCACAGATGCTCAAATAAATTTACGACAACCCATGAAGTCATAAACAATTGGACTGATCCGTGTATGTTGGCTCAGACTACGTGGCTGGGCTCTCCGCGATCACCGTAAACAATGCTTGGAGACGTTGAGTGATATAGCTTAGAATTACTCGCGATGACACAAGCGCATTCATACTTTGTCTTTCCTAGTATTCTAAGCTTCTGAATCGTTTTTGTAAAGCTTTCGATTCGACGAATCTTTCTCCTCGAATCATATCTTTTTTGTCGAATTTTTTCTACTGTTTCTAATATCACTCCTACTCGTGTTACTTTAGTATCTCTCTGTGATGATTGGGTATGGGAATTTTAATTAATGCATATATGTGCCAAGTTCTACGTTGTGAATGACAACAACTGACTGAGTCATCACAATCATATATGTTCATGAATTCAGATGAATTTAAAATGATAGGATAATACTTGACCATCGCACGGTTAGCTTTGTAATTTTTCATCTTATTTTGTCCAATGAAGTGATTACTTTCTGAATGGTAATTATTGGTTACTGATATCTGAAAAGTGATATAAAACGTAAGTATTTTTCGACTGATCACATTTTCTCCAAAAGATGATCGTAAGTAACTTACAAAATACTAACTGTATTGTTTCGAACGTTGTCACGGGCACCGATAACGTGTTCTTAACTACGTTGTATCTGGTGGCGTTCCATTCGCAACAATGTTCCTCAACATATGAGCACACATTTTCAAAAACAAGTTAACCAATCATCTATTCCTAAATTTATTTAATCACACTTAGAACAATTTCAGCACTAGGGGTCAGGAATCACAAAAACCGTGCAATAAATGTCAGTCATATTATTTCCTAATGTACCATTTATGTTTAAAAATCAGTAAACAACAAACAAAATTGTTTGACAAAAAGTAAACCTGTTTATTTTGTTGTCAGTCCGCTTATGTTCCATCAATATCTGATAATTGTGATTATTAACGTAATAATTAACATAATGTAGTCAAATTCTATAAAAATGTACCTTCTCAACATCAAAGTGCAAACATTAAGAAACACAGCTGTATAATACGGTTTTCAGGAAATGTTTCACAAACTCAGTGTGCAATCTTCTCAAAACATCAGGGCCCCGTTTTATCATGTAACTCATCTGTCAGGTATGATTTTGTACCATTGGCTTTGAACTACCAATCGTTCAAAACTAGATAAATCAAAGTTCCAACCCGAAAGTGCATAAATGAACATCAAGTTTTCAGTTTGCACAAACACCACGCCACTTCCACTAAGTAGGAGAAATTGTCCCAACCGTAGAAGTAGTTGAGCGTGTCGACCGCTTCACTGGGGAGAAAATGTCAATTTATTTTCCTGATAGTCTGTACTATAAACCTAATGTTTAAGCTTTCATTCGAAAGCAGATGATAACGTGATAATTATTTTCAGTTTTCATCTATCAATGTACATGAATTGTGTCATTATACATAATATTGTTTTTCTTAGGAATTCCCGTTATTGGAAATAAACGGGATTATATACTTCTGTCTGGTATTGAGAAGTTTAGCTGATTAAACATTTGTACGCCTGTGTTGATGTTCATTTATTTATGTCTACGTGATATCGTATCCTGAGATTGTCCTTGACATTTTTAAGTGGTCTTTTGTATGCTCTCTTGTATCGATCTGACCTTTTATTTCAGCAACATATATAACACCCTAATCATTAGGATATATATATATATATATATATATATATATATATATATATATATATATATATATATGCATACGGAAAGGTAAAGGTGTATTTATACCTTCAAATAATTTATATTCAATTCTCAATTCCTGTGTGTTAGTTGTTTATGTCTTATTGTTCTTTTTATTTTTATTCCTTTTGTGTTTAATCAATATACATTGTCCAACTAGAAGTAATTTTTGGACAATAGATATGTATAGTCTTATTTTCTGATTATTATTGGTTTAATTGGAAATAAAATAAGGTCTAAGATTATTACTATGGATAGTCGATCCATTCTATATACCAATATATTATTGTACATTCTTAGGTTAAGTGATTATTATTATTCTTTACATACTCGTTTATATGCTTCTAAAAATCACGTTTAGTTCAGCAAGTGCATTTTATCTTATTTAGCATGTTGTTAATTAACTTTTACTGGAACTCTTTGCTTTGTAGCCAAGAACATAATTAATTCATCGTCTATTTCATTCATCATTTGTCACATTTTTTTCTTTTTATTATTGTTAGTACTCTACATATTAATCGACTATTAACCAGATTCTTTGGTCTAATTAACTTTTTAATTTACACTAATCAATAACTGAGTTTTTGTAACTCGAGTACTGTTCTTTCATTTTCTTTTTACATTTGTTATTGTCCATAGCAATCAATAATGTATTAACCAGACTAGATATTTTAATTAAAAGTTGAATTTAATCTGGAGTTCTCTCTCTATCTTTTTACAGCTTCTTGTTTGAGATACAAAGATTTATTAATTTTCTGACTCAGTAGCAATTCGGTTCTCTTAGTGACAGTATGGCTTTTTAATTGATTATTGTATCCTAAAACAAACTATTTAATTCATTCTTTAATTATTAGTCACTTCTTGTTCTCTCAATCGTTTTTTTTTTCGGGAAAAGTTTAATATATGGGTATTGTAAGAAAATGAATTATCGTTCGTTCATTCACTAAATAAAGCGCTTATCTCCCAGTGATTTCTTTAAGTTTTATAAACCTACTGTCCGTTCATCGATTCATGCAATCTAATGGCTTATATAATCCCTTCGAAAATTAGTATAATTTCAAGCTTTTATTCAAAGTACATGGTTGACATAGCAAGCAGTAAAAACAATAGTTTATAAAGTCTCCAAGTTCTTTAGTGAGTACCCTGATCATTTTACCTAGCGTTTATTAGCTTGTACTCATTTTAAAAATTCACTAATTACTATTTCATCATCGTATCGAATATCGTTTGTTCTCGTAATTGTGGATATGTATATTTTTATTATTTAGAGTCAGTATTTATTCACAAGAGAATATTGATTTAAAACGTCGTGTGGATGGCTTAGAAAGTACAAATCGTTCTTTGCTAGGTCAATTGCGTCTATTACAGCAACTTGTCAGTAAATCTAAATCCAGTAACACTCCAACTTCGACATGCTCCATTGATTCAATAAAAACTGGAAATCAAACAAATCATTTGATTACGAATGGCAATGGTTCTGTTGATTCTGTGACTCGAATTACTCATAGTAATGGTTCACCTTCCACTTGTTTAATGGTCTTTGCTTTATGTTTTGCTGCCTTATGGATTGGGCAACCGTCGGGAAATGGCAATCAAAACGCACTGAACACTGGTCTAAGCTTTACTTTGAGTCCTCAAAGTTCCTTCAATTTCTGGGTATCACAAGTTCCGCAGCGTCTCGTATCTGGTTCATTATCCCAGGTAATACATCAACTTCAGATGATTTAGTGTTCTTTTTTATAAAGACCTTGTGTAACCATATTTATATAAATGCATTTCATTTATTAAATCCTGAAATTTTTGTATCAGCGATAGGTGATAAAGGAAATCATTTCCATTAATATTGATGATTGTAAGTATTACTTACATAAATTAGATATTCTTTGGATGTTATTTTCAAACTAGTACATAGTATAAAATGAATTTAAGTAAATTGGTAAATATACTTTGGACAGTTTCTGTATATTTCATTGATCTCATAATACTCTTCAATCCATTGTGCATTCTTAATGATTTTTAATGTTTTTTTGTGCACGGTCAGCACATATATTCATCAGAACAACATGAACTTAATGGTAAGTTATGATTAGTATAATAACTGTATGCTTATATATGTAAGTAGCCTGTTGGTCTTTTCATAATTTTCTAATTCTAGATTGGTTACTCGTTCTCAAAACAACCTCAGTTTAGTGGGTATAAACATAGTTCTTCCAATAATTTTGGTGTAAAGAAATCATATGACACCCAGTTTGTGGCGCATGATTCACCACAAGAACAAACATCAAAATTAGTCAGTCAGTTCCCTCTACATTCTTCAGCTACTCAGAAATTTCACGGTTAGTTCCCATTCATTTTTATTCTAGTTAAGATTTATTCATTTAAAGTCAGCTTCTTGAAGATGTCTTTTATAACTACTCTTGTGTAATTTTGTACTTGTAAACCCTAATTCCAATGATTATAAATCCTGATGCCTATTAATTTCGCATATTATTTAGATTGGTTTCATCACATAACTAGATTCATTTGACGATTCGATATGAGGAGCGATATATATATATATATATATATATATATATATATATATATATATGAACGTGATGTAAACCCCAAGCTGAAGTTTTATTTTGTGGAAGAAAGATGTTGAGAAGACCCAAATAATTCCTTAAAATGTTCATAGGGTCCTGAAAACTCTGAGAAACATTTTATCTAATCAGCATTGAGTGGACGTTTCTCAGGAACATCTGGAAAGTGGAGAGTCAAGTGTCACACTTCTGATCGTAGGATTACTATGGTTCCAGAATCCCAAGGTCATCCGAAATGCCATAAATACTCTCGATTTTCTGTACATAAGTTAACCTTAGAGTAAGGCTCTTTTCCACATTTCGCTCCTTCTCTCTGTTTTAATTTTTCGTCTAGATTTAACCTGGGATTATAGAAGAGCTTAGGTAACTGATTCAAGCGTTTAGACAGAAGATTTGTCGAAGAGTTAATAATTAGTGGAATTAAAAACGACACAGTTGCTTACTAGATTTTTTACCTGGTTAGATAAAAGTAGACTTGTGTAAAAGTGTGTTTATAGTTTGTAACTGTTGCACGCATCACAATCTTTTAAGAAATCAAATCACTTTACTTCCAGTTGTTCCGGTTGATAGGGTTAAAAGGAGATTCGGATTACTGTGATACCATATTTAGTTGCTAAATGGGTCACCTATATCTATGTGCCAATACTATCCAATTTCTAATTTCACTTCAAGAATTCATTGAACGAATATTCTTAGTTTGTTCACTTAACTGCTGACAAGATTAGTTAAGTGAAAAATACCTAGATTTAGAGATGCTTTGTATATAACAAAGGTGATGAAAATAAACTAGTGATAACTTGTTCGGGAATCCTATGCATATAGTTTTTGTTGCTGTTTTGTAACGTAGTTGGGGATTTCTAACTCGTCAACTGAATACAGTCTTTCAAAGCTCCTAGATTGTCCCTTAATTTTTAAGCTAACTGAATCATAACTCGAAATACCAAAGATAAGTTGTCAGCGGTTGGATTATCTACTAGTGTTTATCGTCTTAGCTGGTTTTATAGAGGGACTTACATAGGTCATACTTCATTATTTGCGAGAATGTAAATGAGTGCCTAAAAAAAGTAGAGGTCACTTCTAAGCCAAAATAAAATTATCTGTATTCCATGTATTTTTAATTCGAAAACTCATAGTGTAGTCATCCTTTCAGTGCTTGTTTTTCGTAAACTAGTAACAATAACGCTATCCTTGTAGTGTATTTTCTGTCCACTATGGTGTATTGTAAAATGATATCATTACTTATTTTATATTGATCATATCACTACCTTTTCTATCATTAATGTTCTATCAAAAGAGTTTATTAAAGTCATATCTTTTCAAAGGTTCCCTCATTTTATATCGACCTGATTCTACCTATTAAAATTGCTGTGCATTCCGTTACGTTCATTACTTGATTAGCGCAGAATATAATATGCAACTAACGGTACTCAAACATATAAAATCCCCACAAATCAGAAGGCAGGAGAAGTGATCGTTGCGTAAAAACCAAAAATGTACAAAAAATGCGTGTATATATCATTATTAGCGTTGGCTATAACATCATTATAATTCAGCCAATCCACAAGGAAACAAGTTGGACTACTGTCCAATCGTAGTATGCCACGTTATTATTCTAGAAAGTCCCACCAGGTTTTGATTGGGTGGAAACTCTTAGGCTCCTTTAGGGACTCTAGGGGCTCCATCAGTCTCCTTGAGAGCCGTCCTAACATATTCTGTGATATATATATATATTATATATATATATATATAGTCTCATTAAAAACGGCCTTATTCAAACAGCATTGATTGTACTCTTGCCTCGTTACCATATTCGTTTCATTTTCTTTTTTTTACATGTACTTTCCCAATTCGTGACAAAATCTTTTTCATCCCGTATGTATGTTTTTTTCTTTAATTACTAAAATTTATTTAACCATCACGTGACATTTTGGCTGCTGTTTGTTGATGTCTGTTGAGCTAAACACCAAATTTCATTGATTTCTTTAGCTGATAATACATACTGTTCCCATATGATCTGACCTTTTTTTGCTCAATATTCACGTCATAATTCAAGTAAGCTTGTTGTGTCGATTACTATTTTAAGGTCACAGCTTGCTCTAGCTTCTGGACTAGCCAATTCATTCATCTTGAGTCACCTTTTGACCTTGCTAATTATTCGCCTACCAACCTTGACTGTTTTTATATGAGCGTATTTGTGCAATTCTTACCTTACTCATCACATGTCTTATTTTTATCTGACTATAAATATCTATTAATGCTTGATTAAATTGAGTTGGCTCACACGCCCTCTCCAGTGCACATCATTTCACTTCGTGCTTCGGATTATCTCTCCAGATCAATTAGTGTAAAAAATGTATGTCTTCAAAAATCCATTATGGTATTTGACTTATTTAATCCCGTTATTTACTAACTCGGATTAAGTCGATAATTATGTACGAGGATTGGCGACATGTCTCAACGGCAATCAGAAACGATCCAACTGGAGTCAAATATAGAGCCTTCAAACATTTCAGATTATAACATTTGTTACATAGATTACGAAATGGTATATAATGAAGTCGTTTTGTACTTTAATGCCATACGTTTTATGAAATTTAGGAGACTAAACAACTCATTACTAAGTAAATTTGTCATTTTGCCATACAAATCGAATTATTTTGATCTGTGTGGAAGTTACGTACTTTAAGTCATTACGTTTATTTTTGTTTTCCGATTATCACAAAGTTCATATTTGGTGTTTTACAATTTTTTATTATTTTATTCTTACCGTCTGTTTATGATATTCAAATAGTTGAACATAATATATCACATCCAAAAGTTATTTCTTTTGTATAACGAACGTTAGTATTCGAGTTTATTATATGATATTAGTTATTTTGTGTTGCTTTTCATTAACTTTCAGTTCAGCGTTCGAGACTTCTCGGAGAAGCAAGTGAGTTGGAAGACTGTGGTCCTAGACATTCATTTTGGTCTTATTTATTCGGAAATCCAACATCATCCAAACATCAAATTTGTGGTCGAAACGATGATCTACTCATAACGGAACTTCAGCTTTTTGATGACATCGAAAGAGATTTAATGCTCACTCTGTCATCTAACTCAACAGATTCTAAATACTATTCGAAATTCAATGAATCCAAAAGCTCTTTTCATGTAACTTGGCCACCTGTGATAGAATTATCTTAAAGTATCATCTAATGAGGTTTACTACTACAATTTTTCATCTTTCATGAGATGGTTCATGTCACCGTGTGTTGAAGGTGATACTTCGTTATGAACCATTTCACTGTGTATGTGATACTCTCATTTCCCATTAGGAATTACTATTATCCAGTTTTAACCCAAGTGCTAATACATTCATTTATCTATGTTCTAATAGTATTTTCTTATGTGACATTCAATGATAATATTACACTTGTGATCCGTTTTATTCGTAATTTAATTTTTTGGGTGGATGGTTAATTGTAATATGTGTAATTTGTGTTTTCATTTATAAACAACTGTGTATATGTAACCTTTTTGGATATGCTCCTGACTTTCTATATTCTTTATTCCTTATTTTTGTGGTTTACTTCTATGGAAGACATGAATCGTACTTGTAAACTTATTTAATAGCATGACTTTCATCCACTTAAATTTTTAACTCCATAATATGATTGTACTTTTTCATCAATCCACTGTGTGGATTTGGGTTTTTGAAACAAATCGGTCATGTTCATTCTCCGAAAAATAAATAGTATTCAACTTAATATTTCCGCTGTCAGATTTTGTATATGTTTATTTTTGCATTTACCTTACGGAGTAATAAGTCTTTTGTATTATTATTTACTAACATATATTATTCTCTTTTCTGTGTGTAAGAAAACAAATGAAACTGTTGTGCTACGTTTTTCGCACATATACATCAAGCTCTGTTAGTCTTTTACTCATTTCCTTGTAATTGCTTTAATTTCTGGTTGGTTGATTTAAAATATATTATGTCAGGACACTAAGACTTTTTAGCTTATAAAAATGGTTAAGTTCCTATTTTTACAAAATTAAATTTTAAGGTTAATGACTAAGTCGGTGTTGGAATTCCCCATTTTTTGTGCAAAATTTAAAAACTCAAACCAACTTTTGCTGTTTTCGAATGAGTCACTTTACATTATGTTAACTGTCAGTTCACACTCGTGATGAGTTTCTATACGATCACTTTCATCATTAGTACATTCTAATACTCAAGTAAACATAAGAGGACGTCACTTAGTTGTAGGACATGAGTGGAAACTTTCTTTGTTAGACTCTGTTTACTTTGGTTTTAGTGGTACTGAAGGCAACCTATCTCAGGTCTTTTTCTTACCATTCAGGATCTTGACACAATACAGCCTGACCTATTATCACGGTTGGTCTTACACAACCACTCAGATTCTGAGGGTCTAGGGTTTTGTATTTATTTTCGGGTGTTTTTGGTAAGTTGTTTGTCCTTTTATATTCGTTAACTAGAAGTTGTTTTTGAGGCCTAAACGAATCTGTCATCGCTTTTACCATTTACGAAGTCGAACGAAATATTAAGTCACCAAACTGTTGAAACTTTGTATAATTGAACAACCGGGTTCATATATGAAAAAACACTATAATTAAAACTCACTTTCTGTCATGCCAACTGGCTAGACAGGGATTGTTGAAATTTTGTTTAATATAGGTTAAATGAACGAGCAGTCTCACAATTATAGAGCGATTAAATGGATTATCAAATATTGCGCGCAATATATAAATATAGGCGATAACGAGTAAATGTTGGAGGTTTTCAATATAAATGAATGGACATGTTGAGTTTGGTCGAAACATGTGGCAGCTAGGACACTCAGAGTACTATTTGCGATACCAAGAAACATCTATTTATTTCTTCTTCGCCTTGTCATCTTTAATATGTTCATCTTGCAAACATTTTGTTGTTATAAAAGGAACACAAAATCATATGTTCCTAATTTCTGAAGTAAACTCCTAATTTATCGTTATTTCCAAGAAAATATGAACAAGCCCTAACCAGATTTTACAGTTGAGTTGATATTTTGTTATTTCTTTCAATTTCTTTGTCACTGAATAGATCATTTTTTAGAACCATAATATGTGCGACTCAACTACTTCGTATCATACACTGATTAAAATGGCAAGAACAGTAATTTAGTAAGAATGTGTGGTAATAGTATTATAAACAATATGTATCAAATAATATGCCTTGAGAAATAAATCGTATGATCAATTTGCATCCCCGAAACCCGTTACAGTCAGGCTATAAAAAAAAATAATTACAGAATATATTAAAACTACAAACGAGTTGCTCGTTTAAAGTAGTACACTTTTGTCCTTATGAACAGTTCGGCTTAGCTCACTCTAAGGTAAATTATTAAAATCATAAGATAATAAATAAACAACGTCGGGGATCTTAAATGTTAATCACTTGTCAAAATTAAACTTTTATAGAAACTCAAATTAACAAATATCAAAGAGTGGTGAACCAGTTTTGCAGTCACAAGGATCAAAATTCAACGGAGACAAAAATTAAAACGAATCAGGAAATAACAAGAAATAAAAGGGATGAAAAATTTTCCTACAGCAAATAGTAAACATAATATTCAAAAACAAATTAATGTTTTTTCTGCAAGGGTAAGTTAAAAGTCACTCCCTGTTCAAAACCACCGCACTTTAACACACGCGATCTTGGAGGGGTGGCGGGCATCCTATATGTGAATAGTGCTAAGTAGTTTGCCCGATTGTGTACTGCCTTGATTTTATAGTGTACGTGGATTTGGAAAAGCTGAATAACTTTTGAAACATTCTTGTTCACGGATCACATCAACTACTGATCATCTCTTTGTACTCTGCATTGTTTTGGTGTTTCCTACATAAGGCTAATGGTAGAACCATTGCATCAACTAGAACTAACACACCTTCAGTGGGCCTGTACGTTATTTTTATTGCTTCATCGAATTCTTTCAGTTGGGTTAAATCAAAACGTGACTCTAAATTTTCAACCAGTGGTTGAAACAGGAATCTTACAAATACAGATGACAAATATCCATTAAATTAATCAACAAAGTGAAGGAAATCGTAGCGACTGTTGAAAGCAATTTTATGTTGTTATTAAATGTACGTTTGATGTTCTTCCACGTTAGCGATGTAATTATGGATACTCACGTGGTTGCTTTGTATGAAAGTATGCAGATGTGAGTAAAACATTATTCGTGCATACTTCAAACTTTGAGGGAGGTCACGAGACTCATCGCTCGTAGCAACAGAGGAACAAATTAACGTACATAAGAATATGAAAAAAGTTAGTGAACGTCCAACGTTATGCGCAAAAGTGGGCGCTCTTCATTTAGTTGCGTTGCAACAAGCAACCAGTGATCGAGAATCTTACTGGGCGAAGCCTAGTGTTATTTGCATCAAGACGTAACGCGGTAAATGTAAAACCGGTCAGTTAAGGACTACAATGTTAACACATTACTCTATGCCTATCGATAGTGTTCGCCAGGTGACAAATGTAACTGACTTTTAGTAAACACAATTATAAACCTTTCTGAAATATCAAAGGCAGTAATTTAGGCTTATTGTCAGATATAAATCGGCTACGGTGAAAAACCAGGGGAATTATCTTCTAAACCGTAAACTTAGTGTCAACATTTTCAGCCTAAACGTAGCGAGTTCGGTTTACTTGGCAGCTTGAAGTGTAACTGGAGAAGCTTTTCGACCTAGTACAGTTATGTTCCGAGGAATGATACTAAGTGCCGCATCAGTATTCACCAAGAAATACACTCCTGAATTTCTGTCTTCAACACAAAACAAGTGAAAGTTTAGGTAATTTTCCTCAGTCGCCGTGACTTGTGAATGGGTTGTTCGTTTCCTATATTCTTCGGAATCTGTCTACGTCATGTGCATTTCCGTTTGTATCTTGTTGATTTGACACCAGACGTACAGTGATGCCATCAAAACTATCCACATTGTTCGAACGTCTTTGACCTGCTCTGTGACTTGTATCGAGGTCGTTGTGGTGATCTGCTCTTTTTTCTATGATCTATTCAAATGTATGGATCTTATCTTATCCATGACCCGATCTACAAACTGAGAAACAACTCATATACACTGCTTACAGTAAAACACCGTAAACCAGTGAGTTGTAAGTTTTTTACAGTGCACCTTAGTTTATTATGGAGTAGGTTGACAATACCGATCCGTAACTGTGACGCTATCACCAGGTTCAATAGACTGATGGCACTATGACTTGACACTGAAGAGCTTCATCAACTACGCACTGAAATCCCGCCCAACAATGAGGCACTTTTTTATAGACTGCCTAGTATCTAAACCGATCATGAATATAACGGACCCTAGTCGTCATTAAACGAATATAACCAAATGATAGAACACATGGTTTACCTTCTCCCATTATTCATTGTTTATTGGTTATGCCCTTATGCTCCTACTCCCCAATTTAAGATACCAAATCTCTCTAATGGTTAAAATTGCATTATTCTCCGTGAATATCATATCCTTTTTTTCTATCACAAGCAGACAGATAACTCATTAATGTTACCGATGTTGATCAACTATGGTCGATCATAAGAAGCTCATAATATCCTAAATTCTCGTGAGTTCCAAAATGTTTTGTTTTCTTACTCCGAAAATTTTACAATTCTAAACTCTTGAGAATTCTTTGATTTGCTATTTATCTTTACCATCTCTAAACTACATAATCTGGCCTGTTTTATTACTTATACCATTATTTATCTTCAAATCAATGGATATCTAACCCACAATACAGAAGCTTCGACCATCTGATTTACTTGTAACATGGGACTAGTAGAAACGATTTATTGCAAAAAGGAGCTTTGATAAAATTAATATTCATACACACCACAAACGTAAGAAAGCCTAACGACACAAAAGGATGGACGGTGGCCCTACTGAAAAACAAATATGATGGTGGGGAGGTAACTTCAATCCACCTATGTCTGTAGAACAGAACATTTTGTCTAATTACGGCTCCTTATTCAAGTGGGATGTCACGAACCAGTCGTTTTGATAATAATGTAACGGTAAATAAATCCCCAAAATAAATAGCTCTGTAAGTTTTCGACATTGGATGCTGACAACATTAGTTTTAATGGACTCACCTAGCTAAAGGCGCTCGGTCATTCATCCACACCATATCACGAGTGGGAACGCCGTGCTCAACATCACCTGCAATCGCTAGTCATATTAGATCAGACGATCCTCGATATATTGATAGCTTATCAAATAAATCTTCATCGCGCGCTTTTCGAACGGGAAGTTTAGTACTAACGTAATTTGCATTTATCAAACTTTTGCTGTGTTCTTACGCAACAAAAGTACCATTTCAGTTCTAAAGAATCTATCCTGAGCTATACGTTCGGTAGATTACTATTTTTTGAGTTTCATCATATTAAATAGTTACCTGTGGTTTTGCCTCAATTTACTATTCGGTTTGTTTTTGTTTTTCACGTATAGACTAGTTTCAGTTTATAACACTCGTTTTATCCATTTTTGTCCGTTTTCATTGTGCTTTTTAGTGTTTTCTAAAGGTCTTAGGCTTTTGCAAACATCTGTAACATAGTTTGCTTCAACATAGTCATGAAAAGCTCATGCAAACTTCCGGGATGCCGTTTTGCTGTTGCAACTGGCATGCAGTGCGATAACTGCAAAGGTTGATTCCACGAAGCATGCACAGATCTGACATCAACTGCAAGTCAGCAAGTCAGACCAAGAATGGGTATGTGTCACGTGCAGCACGGATGCCGTAGTCTTGCTGAGTAACATCATTGTCCTACTGACAGGTTTTCGGAACAAGTTGTCAGTTAACTTGGACAACGACAGTAAGAAAACCGGTAGACAAACAAGAGCGTGCGACGGATACAAAAACAGGGATGTCGATAGGTATACCGTCGATAGAGCATCCATCAACACTAATGATGACGTGTCGAGGCTCA